CAAGCATAACTGCATACTTTGATTTGGGGAAGAAAAAGCTCAGAGAAGCATTTTTTTTTGCTTTCCAATAAAGGAGTGCTGTTGCCAAACGCAGACAGAGAAATTACAGTGTTCCGATTATCCATCAGTTCACGTGGGGTAAGGCTGAAAGGGAGAAAATGACATTACATCCAATAACGGTCCATTAGCTGATGGGTAAATTTACTTCCCATTGTGTGGGGTGAGCCATTATCACTAACACCATGTAAATGATAGGATGCACACCATCAGCTTTTGGGAGTGAATTATCCAACTACGTCCCTCAAAGAGGGGTTCAAATTAATAGACGTGATTTGTTATTGTTTATTGCAATCTGGATGTGTTTGAATCTACAAGAACTCTGTTGTTGTTGTTGTGTGTGTAGGCATGAAGTCCATATCAAATGGGGCAAAAGTGAGAACTCTCCCAACCCAACTAACCGGCTGATCGACAGCTTATACTCGCATCTACATGCTCACATTTAAAGAATTAGAAAACGCGCTTTGTTCCATTTCAACCACAGTGCATTTACACAATAGTTTTTAATAATAAAAGTTCTCTTTTTTTTAATTCAAATTCCCCTCATTAATATTTTATAGCTTCCACTGCGCATAAACTACCCTAAACATGACTTCAACTAAACACTGCTGATCAGCATTATGCAGGAATCCCTAATCCTTTCCGTTTTCTTTATTAAGATTTATATTTGTTTGTTCATGTTGTGCTGACAAAGCAAAATTTTACATTTAAGTGCTTAATTTTTAATTTTTTTTTTTATGTCCTGGAAGTTTTGGTAATTTATTGCATTTAGCACCTTGTTTCTACTCTTACAATGTATAAATGATTAAAACAGAAATATAAACAGAAGTATAAGCATCCCCTGTTAGTTTTGATCTACTTTCCAGGTGCTGTTTCTGTGTCTATTATATCCAGGGTACAATTTTTTTTTTTATTTTTCTGCAGATTACTATGTTATAATAATGTCGATCTATGTCATTTGGACCATTTAGCACTCATTGATCTTACTATTACTGTGTTAACTGAGCTGTCGGCTTTGGCATCTGGCATTACCAAATTAGGCATCGGGGAAATAAACCAGTAGGTGTTCCCGCTATTCATGCATGAACGCACAACATCTATTTTCTTGCTCGGAGGGCTGGCCACCTTAATTACGTGGGTAAAAGCCTCTTTCACAGAGCAACGTATACTTTTTAAGGGCTTGTTTCAGTTTATTATATCAGAAAACCCGAAACAGCCCTCGTTTTTGCTGCAGCATGTCATGAAAATGAACTGAAAAAGCCTGTTGGACCTGGTCTGAAGAATGAAAACAACAAAACAATTGATTTATCAAACTGTCAAAGTGCCTTTCCATTTGAGAAAACCAGAGACAAGTAATATAGAGACTGATTAATTGAGGGAAAAATAGAACCAACAGTTCAAATTATTAATGTCTTATTTTGACATAATCTCAGTGAAGCGGATATGGATAGGAAAGTCCCATGTTTCGTACTCTTACAAGGAATGCATGGTTCATAAATCACCGAGTCCAAAGGTAATTTACAGCCTTTCTATTTAATTTCATATTCTAGCAGAAACCCTTTTAGTTTGATTAGAAGACAGCGCAACACTGCAGATGTCATGCATTTATAAAAGAAAGTCAAAACATGAACTCTCAATATGTGAAATTAGGAGTTATGCTTAGCTGGAAAAGTGACTATTCTTTTATTATAATGAACAATAATTTAAACACAATGAAATAAATGATGAAACGTGTTTATTGATAATTTAATTTGATCTATGTGTTGATTTAACTTTGTAGGAATAAAGTGCACTGGAATTATTTAATGCATTATATTAACTGCAATGTTTCAGATAGATTTGCTAGCTAACATTTGCGACTTTTGCACGTTTTCTGACTTCACTTGCTTTTGCTACCATGTGCTTTGTGTTTCAACTCAAAGCAACACTTAGTAAAAATATAATGTATGATATATTTGTTTAAAGTGAACAAAAGGAGAGGAAAACTAAGTTAGTCCAAACAACAAAAACTATGCTAGCAAATGTAGCACATCTCGATTGATATGCCAATTTATTGCTAGCAAACATGTTCTAGCAACATAAATTAGCATATTAGGATATGGAGCACACGTAAATAATATTTTTTAATATACTCACACTTTTTTGACAGAATGCCAGTGTACGCAAATCTTAGCATAGCTATCAATATATACTGTAAGCTACTGCAACGTGCTACACCTGCAAACCAAATTCTTCAACATTTTATTTTCTGTAAAAGCACATGCAGTGGAGAAAAAGTGAAATTTCAGAGTCCAGATTGGACTCTTTTGTGAAGAGTTGTCATTATCAAAAGCTTAAATTAAAATTGACAAAACATTTCAAATAAATTTAAGTGTCACTCTTTGACGACTTCCCTTATCAACTTTAAAATCCAAACTGCTTTGCAATTTATAGTTTCTAGAAAAATAATTTTAAAAAATCACAACACTCCCTTAGACCATCAAGCACCAGTATTTTTCCTCATTCAGCATGACACGCCAGCTTTGTATCCCCATCAGTCTGTCCTGCTGACACTGATCAATGGCAATGGATATGCAGAGGATAGAGACAACAGGGGCACTGACAGCAAGAATGGATTTTGCAGGCAGTCAGTCAGTACAGTCACACAGGGATTAGACATTGTGTGAACCTGTCAAAGCAAATGACTTACTTCATCCATTTCTCATCTTCCTTCAACAGCGATATGCCGAGATTCGGTGCAGTTCTTACAAATGATGGCTATAATGAATGCAATAACAACAACCGTATATAATCATTTGTACTGCGTGGAGTTGTGTGTTGAAATTAAAGAAATTCTTTGCAGCCCTCAAACAGAGAACAGCAATCAAGGTGCCATAACTTACACCTGGATATAATGAGAGCATAAACAATCCGTGTGCGACAAAGATTAGTCTTGTTGAAACTCATACGCAAGGCTACATCTATCAGGTGAAGCTTTTTTAAATTCTAACTAGGCAGCCGTCTAGCCACCCAGTCATGAATTTTAAATACACCCATTCATCTGAAGAGAATAAATCTGACACCAGATGTCATTAGTAGAAATCTGGTGTAGCATACCTGACTTCGGTTAATGCAGTGAAAAGCCTTGAATCGGACCCATATTGAGTGTTTATGCCTTGCCACTTTTGTTCTCTGATAAAGGGTTCAGATCTGTGAGAGCAGTGATTACGCTGACTAAATTAATATTATGTGTTTAAAAGAGAAAACGAACCTTCACTGAACTGTAAGAGAGTTAATGTAGCAACACCAGAAAAATTGACTTCAATTGAACCGCGCCCGAATGAAATTAAGCCTCTTCCTCTCTTACCAAACAAATGGAGAATTTCACCTGCTGCACAGGAAATTAATCTGGTGCATAGTGCATGTATTGCAATAAAAACAATTTTCAGCATATGTTCATTGATTGTATGAGAAATGTTGAAGGCTGCATTCATTAGCCTAGTCCTCCAGGGACAAAGGCTGTATTTTATTGATTATCAGTGGGGTGCTGCCTATCGCAGTGTTTGTGAATCACCCAGACCGCAAATAACATGAAGTTCAGTCGGCAGGCGGATCAGCAGTACAGATGTTTAGATAATCCCTCCACTTGCCCCCACTGTGACTCAGTACTTTGAGTCATGGCTTTCAAATCCTTTTATATCAATCAAATGTGAGAGGTTGGCTTCCTCACGTTACAAGGAAAAACCTGATTTCTGGATAACTCTGTTTGACCCTCCAATAATTCTTTGTATTTTATTCCTCCAAAAAATTACGTCTGACAAAGCAAACGAAGCTTGAGGGGAAATGCTGCTGCTGGCGTCTTCTGAGACACGCACGCCTATCAGTCTTGTCACTATTGGTTTTAGGAGATCAGATACGATTATCTGAATAGTGTCAGGACCTGCCAAAATGTCTGGAGCTATGCCTGGAAGAAAAAAAAAAAAAAAAAAAAAAAAAATTATTTGGATTATCTTTAATAAAATAAGTAAATGAAAAACATCTACTTATTCGGTAAACTGTGGAAAATAGTGTTGAGATAAAGTGTAAATGGTGTACTTTTTGCTGTCGTACTGACCAATCGGACAGCTTTACACTGGAGGCACGACCATTCGTGCTCACATTCACCCAAATGTACAGATCAGTAGATGACTTACGGTTAAGTGAATATGTGATAGGAGGAAGCTGGAATAACATGCTGAGGTCCAGGCTAGATTCAAACCAAGGACCCATTGCTGTGAGGCAACAACACTTCCAAGTGTCCCAAAGTACAGTCCAAATAAAACAAAATAATTAATTCTATCTGGGTAGAAGATTCATGGATCTAGCTATCCATGACATTATTAATTTTTTCCCTTAATGTGGCTTGAATACTGTTATTTAAGGGGTTTCTTGCTTTACAGAAGAGACTTTTGCACAAAGCTGACTCATCACCTGAGTCTTAGCATAGTCATAAAGCAAGGGTGGCTATCGAATGAATGAATAAAATGTCTCTGTAGAACTCAATGATGTTCTGAATAGGAAATGCAGCTGTGCAGGAACAGCGACACATCTTAATATGCAGGACGTAGGCTCATGAAGACTGGATTTGACCAGCTCTGTCATAAGGAATCTAAAATACACCTTGAGTTTCATACAGTACCAGGATTCTAAATCATGTACAATCAATACTTTCACTCATCTGTTCAAATCTTTTTTTGTTTTAGGTCAGTTAGTTTTACAAAAATTTCTATTTTCTATGACAAAAATAATGAGATGGGGGTATATATATCTATATATATATATAATGTTGAATACTTTCTTTAAAATGACTGGACATCCTTGTGCTCTTACACACACAACACATGTTGTTTAAACAGATGAACGTGGCACCTTAACTACTCTGGAAATTGTACCAGAGGATGAACCAGACTTGTGAAAATGCACAATTCTCCATTATTATTTTTTGTTTATTCCATATGAGTTTCTCTTTATGTCACACATTAGAATAAAACTTGACTGATTCACCTCAGTAACACAGGAGCACAGCTCTATCCACCCACACATCCCAAATGACATCTAGCTCAGTAAGTCACTGAAAAGTAACGGTAAAGATTTTTGCTTCAGGAAAAAGTTTCTTAGCCTTCAAAGTAACTCAGTTTTTTTTTTTTTTTTTAATCAGAGAAGAATGACAAGACTCTGTCTTTCAAAAAGTCAAAGTGAGAGTTTGTGGTGTTCAAAAAGGAAAGCTTGCCCTCTTAATGGATTATATTATATCAATATGACTTGAAAGTGATGTTGTTGTTTTTCTGAGGATGGCTTCTGACGGAAACATGAAGGAGGAAATGCTCCAAATAAGCACTGTGAGAGACAACTGTACTCCTTGATGTCTGGAAGGCAGATACCTCTGGGAGGGAGGTAAAGTCCTTCTTGATTTATTGGATTTGAGGATGGATGTGTGTCTCTGGCAAGGAGTAGCACCGCCATATGGCTCTACAATCCTCTTCTGCAAAACAAAGAAAGCAACTTTCTCTTTCTTATGAAATTGAAAGGCAGATTAGCTAAAATAATACACAGCAATTGTCTACAGAAGAACAAAATATGTTAGAGGAAATGTTGGCAAGGAAGAGAGAACAGAATGTGTCTTTTTTTTTGGCTTCCTACATGGATTTAGGCCAACTTTTCAGTATATTTTGTAATTTGACTTTCTACGTGTTGCTTTTATTCATTTCAGTTTAACGCCTTTTCCAAATGTCGACTGTTTATTGATTGCAAGCAAAAGGGCCTAAAGTAAAGCTCTTCCCAAGCCACCCCCTGATGGCACACGCTGAAAATTACAAACAGAATCCATACTTTGTAGCTGTGTGTGGGGCAAGCGTTCAAAAGGTAAAAGCTAACACAGTAAGATTAATTGCTTGTAACATCCCTTCTGGCAGCCTGCAAGACTCTCTCTAAAGACTCAGAAATCAACCACATCCTGAAAGCCACTCAGCTGAAGTGGGTCATTTGCATTCATTAGATTTTAGTAGAGCAGTTTCTACATTTACCATGTCTTATTTTCACCTTCTAGATCATTTTATAGGGATGATGCACGGCCTATTGTCCATTCTGATAAGGATGCTTACTCTCAGCTGTCACGTTTCTGGGTAAGAGATTGATGATCGCAGCTGACCAAACTTCTGGGTGAAGTCCTGCTGAGCCTGGACTAAAGCTTCTTCGTCTATGTAGACCGCTGGCCGCCTTGAGGCGACAAAGTACTGCACCCTCCTGAGGCTCCAGCCGAGGATGTACATGAGAAGGCCGCATACAGCCGCCGTGGACCTGCCGACTCCGGCGTTGCAGTGGACGTACACGCTGTGGCCATTTTCCAGGAGTCCGTGGAGCAGGAATACAGCCTGGGGAAGCATCCTGATCCGACCTGCAAAGAAAAACACAGACATCACGACATTCTCTCAGATCCACTTTTATATGATTAATGTTGCTAATTCTTGTTGAGTAAAATATAAATATTCGACATTAAAGACTGTTTTTGAAACACGATAACTCGTCAGTAGTTGCCATCTTTTCCCACATGCTTTTCCCTTCGATCCTATTCTGAGAAAAAAGTACACTGCTCAAAAAAAATAAAGGGAACACTCAAATAACACATCCTATATGTGAATGAATGA